CGCCGCCTACGCCGCCGCCGCGTCCGGATTCGCCGACAACTACGCCATGACGCCGCCGGGATCCGTGTCGCCACACGACAAGCTGCACGGTGGCGACGCTGGCGCCCCCGCTGCTTCCGCCGCCGCGCACCACTACGACCCGCGTCACTACATGTCCGAGTCGTCGTCGGCGTCGGCACATCTGCAGCATTTTCCGCTGAAGCCTCAGCTGTACATTAACCCGACGGCGGCGGCGGCGGGGGTTGGACTCGACCAGTACCCGGCGCACCTCTCCGCCGCCGCGGACCACTACTCGCCGCACTACGGCGCCGCCGCCGCCGGCTTCCACCTCTACCACCCGGCGATGATGAGCAAGCCGGCAGAGCTGGAGCACGCGTCGGCCGCCGCCTGGTACTCGCAGGGCGGCAACTAGCGCCCCCTGTGCGGGGCAGCGGCAAGTAGCGCCCTCTGTGTGGCGCAGTGGTGACTAGCGCCCCCTGTGCAGCGCCACAGAAACTAGCGCCCCCTGTGCAGCGCCACAGGAACTAGTACTCCCTTGTGTAGTGCAGCAGCATATAGCGCCACCTGTGTGGTGCAGCGACAACTAGCGCCCCCTTTGTGGCGCAGCGGCAAGTAGCGCCCCCTGTGCAGTGTATCAGCAATTAGCAGAGCAACGAACGTGGTAACTGCATGACAACTAGCTCCCCCTGTGAGGCGCAGCTGTAACTAGCGACCCCTGTGAGGCGCAACAGCAACTAGCACCCCTTGTGAGGCGTAGCTGTAACTAGCGCCCCCTGTGAGGCGCAACAGTAACTAGCGCCCCCTGTGAGGCGCAACAGCAACTAGCACCCCTGAGCAGCACAGCAACAGTTAGCATCTTCTGCATTGTGCAACTGCAACAAGCGATACAGAGGGCGTGGTAGTCACTGAGCAGCAACTAGCGCCCCCTGTGGGGCACACGCGGTACTCACAAATCAGAAACTAGTGCCCCCTGCTCACGTTTCTGTCGGAGTGTTGACTCGTGTTGTACATCAGAGGCATTGTCAAGGATTAGCATCACTGAAGGGCAAAGCATTCTACAAATTATCAATATATATATATATGTGTATATATATATATATATGTGTGTATATATATATATATATATATATATATATACATATAAGAAGCGGGACAGGCGGCCAGGGGTGTGAATACTGTGCAAGTCACAGACCTTATCATGTGCATATCAAGTATTTGTACTAAACAGCAGATTGTCATGTGTAACCGATTCGCTGAGTGTGGCATGTCGCATCAGTAACGTTACTCTCAGCTCTAGATATCTTAAGCAGACAGTGACTACAGTGTCTATACAGAGCAGAGACGAGGATTGCAACAGTATTTTGGTAACCGGCAGTGACAATTAACACTGTAATCTTTCATCTATCTACAATTAAACCGCAGGGAAGATAATTTCGCAGTTCATTCCACATAACACATTACTCCGAGTATATACGCAACGATTGCGATAATCACTGGCTAGTTATTTTTTTGTTTTACAATGGGGAACTTGTTTCCACACACACACACACACACACACACACACAACAACACCAACACCACACACAACACACACACACACGCACCACACACACACAAAACACAGAAAACAATAACATTCCGAGAACTGAACAACAAGTAGAAGTAGAAATTGCTGTCACTCGCACGTGAGTATTCGAGTGTATTAAATGTACGCGCGTAGGGCATTGCGCTTGTGTTGCGTCGAAGCGTGCGTTTGCAATTTCAAAAGTGTAACGGTATTATTTACTTTACTATTTGACCTGTAAATATTAGCGAAGCGGACCGGTATAGTAGATACATGTAAAACTAAAATCGTTGTTTGCATGGTTGTTTGTTATATATGATTTTATAAGTGTGGCGTCGAATTCGAAATGATGTGACGATGTCGACTATCAATCATTATGGATGACGCCATTTTAGCAACGTTAACAACTATTATATATAAGCTGTCATGTAGGGTCCTTCGCTGGCCGATTGTCGTCCATATTTTTTCTCGAATATTTGCTTGTATGGCGAATGCGGACATCGTAATGTTTATATATATTAGTCTTCCAGAGGAGGCTCATCCAAATTTCTACAAACTTATAACGTATTATAATGATTTCGGCCATTTAACGCGGCTGAGATTGTGCATCAAGCCTGATCTTGCAAGTTGCTTTGTAATGCAGGGCAAACGTAATAGTTACTGTAGATGCATGCGAACCTTCCACTGTAGTGATCTGTTTAATTGCCGACATACCGCAATGTGCATTTATCAGAATTGTGACAAAGGATACTTCTTTAGCACACGGTTTTGTATATAGTTCATAGTGCTTTAGTGTGATAACGGGGCGTCGCCATTGTTGTTTCGAATGCGAAGCGTCCTTTAGGTAGAAGCGGGCAATTATGTTCATAGACTGTTCATTTGACTGCAAATCAAACATTCCTGAAGCCTTGCTGTTAGCATTCCATCATACGCTTCCCTTCGCTTGCTGAACCGTAAATTGTGTATTTTAGCTGTGGCAAGATTGGTTTATCAGTTTCCTTGAAGTGCTGCTCTCTCTCTCTCTGTCTCTCTCCGCTCTCTCTGCTCTGCTCTCTCTCTCTCTCCTCTCTCTCTCTCTCTCTCGTCTCTCTCTCTCTCGGTCCGCTCTCTCTGCTCTCTCTCTCTCTCTCTCGCTCTCTTCTCTCCTCTCTCTCTCTCTCTTTCTCTCGCGCTCTCTTTCTTTGTCACTCTCTTCCCTTCTTCCCCCTCTCTCACTCGCACACTTTCTCTTCTCGTTTTCTCTTTTCTCTCTCTCTCGCTCTCGCTCTCTATCGCCCACTTTATGTCTATCTATCTATCTATCTATCTATCTATCTATCGATCGATCGATCTATCTATATATATATATATATCTATTTATTTATCTATCTATCTGCTTGTCAATCTGCCCACTCTCTCTCTCCCTCTTTGTTTCTATCTCTCCTCCCCTCTGTCTCTCATTCAAAAATTGAATCAAACTGCGGTATTGTTATATATCTATAACAGCTATGTACACTGTCCCTATTGCTCTGTTGTATTTTCCGAAAATACGCGGTAACGTTTTATAGTAAGTTGGCGCAAGTTGTCTATTGTCAGTGTTGACTCTATTATCAGTTTTGACTTTAATGTATTTCCGTAATTGTGATATATCATTTTGATACCGAGGAAGTGTATAAAGACCAAGTGGTTTGTGTTTATTGAGTTAGCCTTGCTCAACGTCTCCAGTTGTTCTTTCATTGAAATTATCCGCATGATTTTGTGATATGACGAGTATTATTTTTGGTGATATCATGTTTATGGTCTAACTCCTGTGTTGCCAGTACAGCAGTAGTTCTTTCCGTTGAAGTCTACAATCAATGATACGTGCCATGGCTAGCAAGGACTGCGCTCATGATCATTCGCCCCCTTCGAATGTCCAACTGAGTAACATGCGTGTAAATAATTATTTCGAGTCTTATGTGATCCACCATCAATTTAGCAGCACATTCCCTAACGCACCCACCCGCCTGTTCAGTTGACAGAAAATTTTACTTGGCATAAATGATGAGTTCCGAACCATAGCGCCAGCTAGCGGTATTTCCGAGCTAATCTTGTGTTATATATCAGGAGTGAAACTCGATGATAAAGCGCTGCTGATTATATCGTAATTAAGTGTGTATGCCTCAGATGTGTAAATCGGCTGTATTTCGCTGTCACTGTCTTGTCAGGTCAAAGTGAGTCGTCGCCGCAAATTTTTTACAACTACGATGAGCCATGCCCGTGCATTCATTCCTTCTGTTTATTTATTCACCGCGGCAGTTTGTCGCTTATCTTCACGTGGATGCCCGCGTTCGAACAATAACTGTCAATTAAAAGTTGCGTCACTCGTTCCAGAGAAGAAATCGGACTGCCGAATTTCGAAAGTTTACCGAATCATTTGCAAAATTATCGCGTATGAGAGGCACCGGGTGGTGAGTGCGGTAACTTTTCGCGTCTGCGTTTATTTGATTCAAGGAAGCTGTCAAACATGGTCCCCGGGGATCATCACTATTGTCTAAATGTAAAATTAAAGGCGGTTGTCGCGTCATCATGTCTGCTTGTGTTGAATGCAGGTGTGGCATCTACTGCTGGGTGATCTTTCCTCATTCACTACCTGGCTGTCGAGTGTTCTAGTTGCATTCGTGTTTTCAGCATCAACAACCCTCCAATTAACAACAAACAAACAATTACAATAAGCTTAAGTTGCGAATGCGCAGATTTTGCTCGCTGTTTGATCATGGCATCACATAGTGAGGGAGGTTGCTCTACACGCGTGCATGTGTGAATGTAGCTTGCAGTCATCGCCTGCTTGGGCTCACCACGTATGACAGCAAAGTATAACGTAAAGACAGCAATCACACGACCGCTGAAATGTTCAAAAGATGGAGGGAAGATATCACTTGCGTATCAAATGGCAATATATTACGCGCGATCAGAGATAGTAGAGCGAATCTTGGTGGGCAGGTCTTGCACTCTCACTGCGCTTGACTCAGCATATAAACGTGTAAGCTGTCATAGTAGTGGACATAATCCCGAGCGTTTGCTCTAACCGTATCGCTGTAACAAACCCACATTCGCATTTGTCAAATGCGTGTATATTCACGAGTAATTATAATAACAGTGTACACACCGGTTATAATGATAATTATTATTATATAATAAAAGTTTTGCATCATTTTGTTCATATCATTCGCGTTTTGTTCGTCTTCATTTTTGATCAGATCATCGTTTCGTTTGGCAACGTTCAAGTTATCGCGGCGTGCAAACGTGCTCATTGTTACGCAATGTATAAACTATACCGCTAATATTAAAAATATAGTAAGACTAGATACTGTGCAATCTAGTTTTATTTATATTTTTTGGTAATATTGAACTTGATAATAGAGGTCGCCAGTAGCTAGTATGACGTGTACATTTTGCATATACCACCTGTGCGCACCTGCTATGTTCTTTTTCCCGCCAACTGGCCGCACGAGCGGTCGTTCGTACGGATCGATTGTAAGTAAACGTATATACGTACGTAATAACATAACACCATACCACGTCAATACTGCTCGAATACTATACAAAGATCATATATATATATATAACACACACACACACAAAACACAGAAACAATAACATTCCGAGAACTGACAACAAAGTAGAAGTAGAAATTGCTGTCACTCGCACGTGAGTATTCGAGTGTATTTAAATGTACGCGCGGTAGGGCATTGCGCTTGTGGTGCGTCGAAGCGTGCGTTTTGCAATTTCAAAAGTGTACGGTATTATTTACTTACTATTTGGACCTGTAAATATTACGAAGCGAGACGGTATAGTAGATACATGTAAAACTAAATCGTTGTTTTGCATGGTTGTTTGTTATATATGGAGTTTATAAGTGTGCGTCGAATTCGAATGATGTGACGATGTCGACTATCAATCAGTATGGTGATGACCCATTTTAGCAACGTTAACAACTATTATATATAAGTGTCATGTAGGGTCCTTCGCTGGCCGATTGTCGTCCATATTTTTCTCGAATATTTGCTTGTATGGCGAATGCGGACATCGTAATGTTATATATATATTAGTCTTCCAGAGGAGCTCATCCAAATTTCTACAAACTTATAACGTATTATAATGATTTCGCCATTTAACCGGCTGAGATTGTGCATCGAAACTAGATCTTCCAGTTGCTTTGTAATGCAGGGCAAACGTATAGCTAACTGTAGATCATGCGAACCTTCCACTAGTGATATTTTTAATTGCCGACATACGCAATGTGCCATTTATCAGAATTGTGACAAAGGATACTTCTTTACACACGGTTTTGTATATAGTTCATAGTGCTTTAGTGTGATAACGGGGCGTCGCCATTGTTGTTTTCGAATGCGAAAGCGTCTTTAGGTAGAAGCGGCAATTATGTTCATAGACGGTTCATTTGACTGCAAATCAAACATTCCCTGAAGCCTTTGCTTAGCATTCCATCATACCTTCCTCCTTCGCTGAACTGTAAATTGTGTATTTACTGTGCAAGATTGGTTTATCAGTTTCCTTGAAGTGCTGCTCTCTCTCTCTCTCTCTGTCTCTCTCCGCTCTCTCATGCTCTCTCCTCCGTGCGTGTCTCTCAAGTCATCTCAATACCTCTCTCCCTCCTCTGGACCCGATATCCGCTCTCTCGTGCAGCTCTCTCTCTCCTCTCTCGCACCGGAGGCTCCCTCTCTCTCTCCTCGTTTCTCGTTCTCTCTCGATCGCTCTCATCTTTCTTTGTCACTCTCTTCCCTTACTTCCCATTCTCTCACCTCGCGACACTTTTCTCTCCCGCTCGTTTTCTCTTTTCTTCTTTCGCTACTCTCGCTCTCGTATATCGCCCAACTTTCTATGTCATATCTTAATTCTATGTATCTATCACTATCTAATCCAAATCGATCGATCGGATCTATCTATATATATATATATATAATATCATTTATTATCTACCTATTCTGCTTGTCAATCTGCCCACTCTCTCTCTCTCCCTCTTGTTTCTATCTCTCCTCCCCTCTGTTCTCTCATCAAACAAATTGATTCCAAACTGAGCGGTATTGTTAATAATACTCTAACAGGCTATGTACACTGTCCCTATTGCTCTGTTGTATTTTCCGAAAAATACGCGGTAACGTTTTATAGTAAGTTGCGCAAGTTGTCTATTGTCAGTGTTGACTCATAATTATCAGTTTTGACTTTAATGTATTTCCGTAATTGTGATATATCATTTTGATACGAGAAGTGTATATAGACCAAGTGGTTGTGTTTATTGAGTTAGCCTGCTCAACGTCCCCAGTTGTTCTTTCATTGAAATTATCCCGCATGATGTTTGTGATATGACGAGTATTATTTTTTGGTGATATCATGTTTTATTGGTCTACTCCTGTGTTGCAGTACAGCAGTAGTCTATT